AACTCTTGATAAACGAAAATTTCTTTGTTCTAAACCTGTCTCTGTTGATTTCTTTCAATTGTTATAAGCAGGTATAATGATCTACTGATCTGGTAGTAGTTTGGTGACTGCAAAAAATGGATGTATAGTAAACACAATCAACTTCATAATCAAGAGTAAACGTTAAGCCAACAGTTTACAAAATAAAAGACATTCGAAATGAATACTGTGATTTATCATATATCAATACCTCTTTGGTAGATTGGAATCGCACTGGTGTACTTCATTGTCTTGATATGAATAAGCTTCTCATAAATGCACCAGGGAAAACTGAGAAAATGCTTCCTATTCATTCCTTCATTATAACAACCCCAGTAATCTGGATGATAGGTAACATGATACCATGCAGACGCTTTCGCATAAACATCATCCTGTTGAGTACCTGATGTAGAGCTCTTCTTTTCAAACCAAGTCCGAGCTTCTTTCTTCAAAGACTTGACAGCATATCCAATTGCTTCCACATCATTTCTACTTTTGAATGATTTTTTTAACTTCATAATACTACCACAAAAAATCTCTGCCTCAGTTTCAAGCTCATAATATTCCATCAAGTTTCCCAACTTGAAATCATATTCGCCTTTGTAGTACTGAGCATCGTCAAGGAAGTTCTTAAAGCCATCAACTTCCATGTCATGATCATATGAATGTATGGCCACCTCCCTAGTAAAGGATCTAATACAACTTGTCTGTGGAATATCCTTGACCTCTCTAAATAACTTTCCAATCACTCTATGTGATTCATAAGTCGGCTTGTCAAGCTTCTCCATGAAGTCTGGAAACTCTTTGACAAGTAGATCAGGGGGGATCACGGCAGGCACGCCAGTTTTTGGGAAATCAACTGCAATTGAGAATAACTTTGCAAGTTTTATGCATGCTTGGCTCTGTGCTTTGGCAGGCTCCTTGTCGGCAAAGGCAGTGTGAGCATTTGCAATTTGTCCTAAGCTATCATTGACAATGTAATCTGTGAAGTATTCTTGGATTTCCTGATTGAACGACATAAAAGAATGTCAACAAGTATGAAAGAATTTGAACATTATAGTTATGGTACATGAAGTCCCCAGATTGTGCCATGACCTTAACCATTCACCCTAGTCACATATAACGCAAGCAAAGTCAAAAGTATATGAGGGCATGAAGGAGGGTACCTCAATCTTCACATCATGATCCAACAGAGCATTTGGTGCAGGGGTGTAGTCCATGGGAGAAACTTGACGGGGTGGTATAAGTTCCGAGTCCCAGCTAACGAAGTATAAATCACCATCCAGATCACTACCTGAACACTCATTTGGATGGGGTCTGCAAGAACAAGTTCAGCTATCATCAAATGGCCAACTTAAAAAATATATATATATAACCTGAAAGTGTCTAATGGAAAAAGTAATCTTACCTTTTGCCCTTTTGTGGAAATACAACACAATCTACCATATGGTGCAAAGCTGGGACATTGACAGCCTGCAACACGCGGACATCACCAGGGTGTAGGCAAGGATTTTTAGCGACAACTACCTTGCATTCACAAACATACTTGCATCCAAGCAGCCCATCAATGTTCGAAACTTGGACGAATACCTGTCCATATTTCAGTGTACTAGTTTCATCCAAGCAGCCCATCAATGTTCTACCATGTGGGACAAATATCCTTGATTTATTTCTCAACTCCAACAACTTCAGCTCCCGAAAAGTTTGTAACATCATAGATAGAAATGGTTCTGCATCAGGCTTGTAGCCACACATGAACATTTCCTTGAGAACATCTACACTTTCATTAGGGGCCATAAACTGAAGTGTCTCGTAAGCTTTTATTGGATCAGTTAGAATCATGTCCAGGTTATGAATTGCTTCTCTTTGTTTCTTTTCAAAAATGTGATCACTTACACCAAGGGTAGACAAGAGAGTAATGATTTGCCGATTAAGAAAACAAGGTTGAATCTTGCTCCAAGAAAGAACATCCAATTTAATATTGGACGATGGGTACTTTGACATGCTTTTTCTCAATGATAATTTCTTAACCGATGTTGGATCAACAGCAACAACACCTTTATATCCACCATATCTGACTTGAAAGGCCGATGGAGTAGAATCTGTAATTCTACACTTCTGTGCTACTCTTGCTGCAAATTCAGAAGAAATTTTCCCGATGCCATCCGAGAAAACATAATTGTTTCCCTTCCATCGAGTTTTTACGTCAGGAATAATTTCAATTTAATGCCTACCAACAATCAAAGTTTCTGTCGATGAACCAAATGACTGGCCAAGTCTTGCTGCATACTTTGCCACATTTCTTATATCCTGGAAGTCGCCCATCCACCCCCTAATAGTACTTGCAGTAATCTCATCCCTCGAAGAGAACATCCAAACAGAATTTTCCCTTAGTTGGCTTGATGAGAAAGCAAGAAAATCAAATTTCTTGGTGCCTATGACTATTCCATTGCTCAATGTATAGAGAACTCTGTCATACAAAGTAGTATGTCGCTTATTTGTCAGTGCACGTGGAGATAGATCAGTAGACCGCATCCTCTCCCAGTCTTCATCAACAAAGGAAACACGAATGAAGTTATCAATATATTCATGAAAATGGCGTAACACTCTGTTAGAAACAATGACCTCAGGCCCACAATAATACACTTTCGTGGGAGTGACTTGCACTCTGCGAACGTAAACTAGGCCATCATCCAAGGTTATCACAGATTGCCTACGAAACTTTATTGATGTGCTGAATGTTGCATATTGCTCATTCAGCCACGTAACAGGGTCGTAGCAGCAATCTTTTATATGATACAGCTTTTCCAGTGCACATTCTATCAGGTTGATAGGAGAGTACCGAGGATGAACCAACCTGAAGAAAGCAGCATCAAGTGTTGGACCTGCCAAACACCCATTCTGAACCAAGGAATTAACCTTAAAATTAATAGCATATGGCAGCTCTAGACCATCGGAGGAATTGACAGTAGGACCATGAAGTAAATTATGAGAAAATGTAGAACCATCCTCCGCTACAAAATCAGAACTGCTTTCTTTATAATAATGAAAGTATTCCCGTATACAATCAAGCTTGCAGTTTGGTTGAAGTTCCAGACATATAGAGGTACACTGTCCGATACAAGACAAAGCGGTGAAATCTGTTGTTCTGACCCAATTTTCTTCTGGTGTATCCTTAAAGTAGTTCAGATATGAATCTTCATATAGATGTCGAGAAGAGCATTTCTCATATATCCTAGGAGCGGCAAGAAGCTAGAAAATATAGAAATTATAAATTAATTTCAATCAATTTTCTTGTATTTATTTAGAAATCATCTTTTACATAAGCGCTAGTGTCGATTGTGCATTTGGTATATTGATGTACAGAAAATTTGGCAACTAGATAAAAGGCCAAACGAACCTGAATAATGAGAAACTTTGCGCTATGACTCCATGGACGGCGCTCATAGATTTGCCACATGCTATCATATGACAGTTCAAGCTTATACTCCACATCACAGTAGGTAAGAAAAAATTCAACCTTCCTTAAGTGTACCCCAAAGTTGACTACAACATTCGCCACTTTTTCGAACACATGGAACCTTTTCTCAGAAGTCTGACAGCCGAAATGCAGAGCAATAGTCTCTAAAGTGAGCATTGCTTCCCTTGGTTTGGGTACATTGTCGTGATCCATTTTCCGTGCTTTTAGCTCATATGACTGATAGTTTAGGCGTCCATTAATGATCGATAACATTAGCTCACTGCTCTCAGTTGTTGTGAATTGTACTATAGAATATGCTTTTGGATTAGTCCCACTTCTTTTAGCCTGCCTGATTTTCAATGCGAAAACCGTTCCCTTGCCGGTGTAGTTCTCCAAAAATTTTGTTATCTCTTCAGCAGATACAGAGCTTGGGAATCCAAAAATCTGAATGGTCATACTCATATCTTCAGCTCACAATTATCTGTTGGACAAAATCATTAGCATTACAATTATATGGTCATACTCATATCTTCAGCTGACAATCTCAAAAAGTATTAGCATTCACTACATTGATCCATACATAGCAAAATCAGAAAAATTGGAACAACACTGAGAAGATTAGCATGGCCCCATGCGGTGATCCATCTTGTGAACAAAGAAAAATTATAAAGTTGTTCTACATGACTACATGCATGCACAGTTACCTGTAATTGAAAAACAGTTATTTAGACTAGTGTTAAAAACACAGAGGCATTAACATGTACATGTAACAATCTGCTTCATATTTCATACTTGTCAGAACAAAAAATCACAAAAGAAAATAACCATAGTAGCATATGTTTACAACGTTGTATCGAAGGGGCCAAAAACCACGAATATATATAGCTTTTTACAACTAAAATACAATGAAATCAGATTAAAAAAAATTTGGAAGATTAGGAAACCATAATCCAAAATTATAAAAAGATTAGGGATAGATCAAGAAATACGAAAATTTACTGTTTGGTGACTTACCTTTATACACACTACTAGACTTAGATACAAAGCATTTTGCATGAACCATATATATGCAGTAAAGATGAGTTGGCGGTAATTACATACAAAATGAGTTGGCGGTAATTTCACAGTAAATCCCAAGATTATGGTGCCTCTTCCTGAACTGTTGATTTAATTTGATTTGTAGGGAGTTTAGATTTGCTCTGTATATGGATTCTTATCTATTTATTAAGAATGATAGAGAGTAGAATGTCTCAATTCAAAGTAATACTCATAAAAATTCCTTTCTCTTGTTGTTGGGTTTGTCCATTCTAGACAACAAGAATCTCTTAAAGATCAACTTAAAGAAATAGAACAAAAGAAACCATTTATTGTTGTAAACTCTTTATACAATTATACATGATTCTTCCTTAGTTTGGATTGAAAACTTAACATGGATGGTGCATGGCACTTTGAGTGGGGGCATCCTTAGGCCTCAGTCTACATGAGGTAGTTGTCCCATGGACCATTATTTACATTTTGCAAGTCAGAAAACCTATTATTGCTTAAAATCACAAATATTAAATTTGCAACAGTAAGAAATGTTCAAGTGTGACGAAATAATAAAATTACTGATGATGAGAAATGATAAGCGCCTAGTACTTATTTATACTCTTAAATCGTGTATGTTTGTCCTATTTTATGATATAAAGTGATATGATATGCTTGGGTTTGTTAGAATTGTATGTTTGTAGGTTGGTTTCTACGAGAAAAGCTTAGAGTGCGGGAAAACTAGCAGAAAAACATTTTCAAGTAGCTAATTTTAAGCAATTAAACGAAGGGGTTAGAAAACTCCGATTGAAGATCCTAAGGATGCGTTGGAAAGCTATCATTTAATAATTCAAGACTGTTAAGAAATATTTCCAGAAACTGGATGGACACCAATTCAAAATCAGCCCGAAAACCTGTCAGTCTTAACGTTTTACTGGACAAAGGGCAGTTTGGTACTTTCACTTCTGCATGGATTTTCGTGCCAATCCTGATTGCAGTCTTCTCCATTGACATTTAGGTCATCGCTCAAGAAGTTTCAAGCCCAAAAGCTTCCTACTAGTTGGTAGACTCAAAGCAAACCATCTTTCGAGTAAAACCAATGTATTTTAGGTTTTAGAAACTCCCTCCTCTGGCCTTGAGGGCAGGCAACACAAGCAGGTGCTTTGGGCCCAATAAAAAATTGCATTGTTTGGGCCATAATTTTCTCTATTTACTATATATATAATACAATAAATGGCCACATTTTATGCAACTGAGTATATTAGACTAGTGGTTTATGTTTATTTTTATGTTTTAAAAACGTCACAAGTTCAATTTTTTATAGTTTTGGGTTTAGTGTATATTTGTTTTTCAAGTTTTAAAATCAATAGGGTTAAAACCAGATTTGGGCCACCCAAAACTAAAGGCCGGCCTTGTATATAGAGGAGAGGAGCAATAAATTTCACAACTTTTGGTGCATGCATAAGTTGTACCTTAGTTCACTTTAGGTTTCTTTTAGTTTTCTTAAGTATTTTTAGGTTTAGTATTATGTTCTCATTGTTCTTCATTAAATTTTCAATATAATTCAAGTTTCTTTCTCGTACTTGTTTTCTTTGCTTTTAATTTACTGTTTAACAATAAATTCATCATCTTCCACCACCATGTGTAGCTAAACCTTTCATGGGGTGAGGCAAATTAAAGCTGGTTTACATAAAAAGCAAGTCTTTTTCTACCAAGATTTGATTTTTAAAGGTAAGTATCTTAAAATTGATCACCTTAGGATAGTTTAATTTACTGTTTTATTATAAAATGTAGAAGATAAGGATCTTTATACCTTTTTAGGACTTTCTCCATACCTCATGTGCGTTAGTTAGGTGATTCACTGCTCGTGAGAGAGGAGTTATCTAATTTTACATCTTTTGTTATAAAATATGCAATTTTACTTCCCTTAACGTGTATCCATTAATGAGAGGTAAAAAGTCATAATTGTATGTTTTGAGGCCCTTAGGTTCTAGTAAAAGAATTCTCTGCAGAGGCATTATTAGTAACCTAAGATGGGTAAATTGTCTAGGCCGAGAGGAAGACAATTTACCACCAATTAGATTGCTCGAGAGATAGAGATAAATGGAATGCATGAAATCGGAACTTGAGTGAGAAAGCTTGTAATTTATCTAGCTGGTGAGCCAAATCCTAATTTCTCTCATAAGTAAAAAACCTACCTTTTAATTGCTTTATTAGTTTAGTTTAATTTACTTTAGTTTAAAATTCTTTTTCAAAACAAAAACATATTTCAAAACCATCATATTCATATTCCCTTTTCCAAAAACGACATCTTGACTATTTTAAACATACATCTTTATCATATAAGTCACTATATCATTAGAAGAGTGGATTGATACTCGTGGGCTTACCTCTACACTAGTTTGAAGATTGGTTTAGATCAAAATGGAAAACTCACATTTAATTTGATCGTACGCTAAGAGATTACATTTTTGGCGTTCATCAAATTGACGGCGTTGCCACTCTAAAGAGATCATAGGTGACGACATACTTTGTGTGATTAGAATAGTCAAAGCATCCCGCAACACCGCCCACCTTTTAAAACAATCTGAA